AATTCTTTGACATTTACTTTATTCTTATTCGTTGACAAAATTAAATTAAAAATTAAAATCATTAATTCGACAAAAAACATTGGCTTTGTGTATTCTCCAAAGGCCTAAAATCAGCCAAATACCCTATGTGGGTCGGCTTAATCAGTAAAACGTGACAGTAGTTGACTTTTGAGGTTAATATATCGGTCTTGAGCTGGTACGGCTTTTAAAACATCCGCAGCTTCCTTTAAAGCATCGCTGCTAATTGCTGAGAGGACCAGATTATATTTCCGGACATAAGATGTGGTCTTGTACGACTGAAAGGTGGCCTCAATTTGTAGAAACCATTTGTTTGGCATCTCAGTTCAGAACGGTCGCAGCTTGCATTGCGATACAAGCTCCACATCTTTAGTTGGCATTTTGTTCGATGAAATATTTTCCCCATCCGTCGATGCGCCCTTTTGTCGACTCCGTCATGTTGTAACGACTCGGGGTCACCACTAATTTTTTGATGGCGAAATTTTTGTAAGTTATATCAATCATCTTATAGTATTTTCGGGTAAAAATTAGACCCCCAAGCGGTTTTGGAAGTTTGACTATAATTATAGGACATTGTGTTTAATAAACTAAATTACCATTTATTGCATAAGTGCTACGTAATATATACTACTTTCGCAAATTTAGCTTATCATAATATACCGTTTGTTACTATTTATATGCAAAATTTGATATGAAAGAGTACCAAATTTCGTACTACTTCGCAAAGCGTGCTTCTTTTCTTCCCGTTTCTCTCGTTCTTCCATATTACAACCTTTTGTAAGGGAGCCGTCGACATGAGCTGTCACTACGTACAACACCTTGTATAATTCCACCATGCTGAATAACATCCTTTTTCAGTTTTTTTGTTTATTTATTTATTTATTTTTTTTTCGTAGTTTTCTCCTTTATAGCACGTTTATATCAACTCACTTTCTTGTTTATCCGCTTTCACTAGCAATCGATTATTGTGCAACTTACCGATTAGCTAGACTTGAAACTTTAAATAGAGCTCAGAGGCCGATGGCTTCGCATGCAATATTTGACAGTCTGTTGGTTTTATCGATATTTATAAAAGATATAGACGATTTCAATTTCATACTTATTGCATCTAATATGCGTTGAATAGCGCTGTGTTCAATATCCACATGACTTTTACAGCGCCTAAAAATACGTAAACGTTTTTATTCTGCGAAATTATCCTCCTGCTTATAAAAGATAACATTTTCACAAATCGTTAATAAAACGCATTTTCTTATACATGAGAAATGTGAAGAATTTTCAGCAAAGACTTTAATAAAGGATAGAATAATAATAATAAAAACACATATGTTAGTGTTTGCCTGAGGGACTGTATTTTTATGAGAAGCTGCTTTTCATGGCAGAAATACACACTGAGGTTTGCTCTTGCCTGCCGAGGGTCGACCGCTGTTAAGAAAAAACCTTTTTTCTTTATTTTTTTTCGATGTAGCTTTGACCAGGGCTTGAACCCAGGCCCTGCGGAGTGGAAGAGCGCACTGCTTGCCACTACACCTCTGCGGGTGCTAAGGAGAAACTAAATCAAAAAAAGAACTGTTGAATATACGACGTTTTAATAGACGAACTAAACAGTAAAAAACAAATTTTAACAGATTTTAAATGAGATGCACCAAGCATTTATAGAAATATTAAAGTAAAAACCTGCGGACAGTGCTGGGAGAATGGCCTCCGACATTTGTTTTTTATTGATGAGAAAGTTTTCACAATTGAAGAATCATTCGTTCTCGTTTTGGATCAATTTCTTCGAGAAAGGTTCTAAACTTCCAGAAAAGTGTATCCAGCGGAGATTTTAGAGCAGGGTTTGAAATTGCTTGACTTTTCTCAATGCATTTGTAATTCGTCCCTTGGCGTGCAATACCTTGTATCCGCAAGATGCAATACCACGTATGAGGGCAGAGAATAAAAATGATTTTGGTTACCCTTTCCCTAATGCTTCCCTACATCACAAATATAATAGTGCATAATTATAATAGAAGCTCAAACTTAGTAAGTTTAGTTAGGAAACCATTCCAAAAGTTTTGAAAAAATAGTTTCTTCGCTCTTTTGTGAAATTTTCGGACCATCTATCTTATACGCGGTTCTGCATTTGGCGGATACGAGGTATTGAGCGCCAAGCGACCCATTGCTTATCTCCGAAAATAAATCAGTCAAAGCAGGCAGCAAAAGCGAAAAGAGACATTCTTTTTCTTTTGCTTACAGTTAGTTTGTTTTTTTGCTTTTGCTGCAAGCTATACGTTTGGTATATTCTCATTTTTGCTTTTGCTTTCTTCCTCGCTGCGTTACTCTCCGTAAGTACAAACATATTTTCATCATTATATCAACGAGAAACGCTTGATTCTCTCATACTTATATGGGCATTAAGAACTTTTCATTTTCGACATTTAAAAAAAAATTGTGACACACTCAACTAATCGATTTCACCAAACTCTTTCAGACATGATATAAACACATGTAAGTAAAAAATGGTATGGCAATTATGAAAGAGAAAGAGCTCCAGAATATCAGACCACCTGCCGGTTTGTCCCTAAACGTCTACTTTTTTTTTACAGTGTATTGAAGTTTTCCTTATGTGGTCTCAATCTTGATCTTAATTATTCGAAAAAACCTCATATAACATTTATCATCAATCTACATACATATATTTAAATTTAGTGGCGCATATTTTTGTGGAACATTTTAACCCATTATTTCTCACTGTGTGGACCGTTTTGACTAATGTGTGGGTCAAATCTAGTATTAATTGAAATTTCCCACCCTTTCTGTTGACCTATTGATCTGAAATTTGGTATACATCATTAAACTGCCTTTACATGAGGAAATTTTGTGACGTGCGACAATCGCCTGCAAAAGTTGACATGCTGTCTACTTTGAGGCAAGGGATTTTTGAATCACCATTCGAACGAGCGATTTTTCTTGAGCAATGTTGAATCGCCTAGAAAATCTGCTCATGTAAAGCCAGCTTTAGTTCTGACGACATTATGCGTATGTTTGTATATTCAACATCCTTGTAAATCTAAAAGGCGGAAGACATGTTTTTTCACAAGCGGAGCGTAGCTGGAGCAAAGAGCTAAAAAAATTAATTTGCTCCTTAGCTCCTAGAAATAAAATTTTCAATATTTTGTTTTTGTTGTTTTCTGGCCTAGTAACGAATTATTTTGAAATATTTTTATTGTTTTTTTTTCACAAAAATGTTCAATAAAAATTTAAAAAAATTTTCATTACATTTTTTTTGCCCACGTTTTTCCGCGGAATGTAAATAAATAAATAAAAAATTTTGCTTTTTTTTTGGGAGCGGGAGTGGAGCAAGAGCGGAGCTCGGAGCGAAAGCGAAATAAAATACCGGAGTGGAGCCAGAGCGGAGCGGTGAAAAAAAAAACCTTTGCTCCGAAGACCCGCCAAGATGGTGGCTACCACAAAATGGAGGATTGCTTATTTTTTCCAATCTCCTCAATATGGGTATCAAATGAATTGGAAAGTAGAACCCAGTGCATTTTAGAAAAAATGCGCGCATGTATGCGCGTCCAATGGCGTTTTCTTTTCTCGAAAAAAATATCACTTTCTTATAAGGCAACATTATTAGAGTGCAACATTTTAAAGAAAGAGCACCGAATAGGCGTGCGACGATGCTGAGAAAAGAACACGAAAGCTTGACAGCCCTGGCGTAGGCCAGAATTAATGCAACATTATTTCGAGAAAAGAAACCGCTATAAATTGGCTGCTTCGGCTGACTATCTAAGCAAGGACAAACTGCGCTGTAAGCAAAAGCAAATGATTTCAGGACTCTTTTTCGGTTTTCCTGCCTACTTTCGCTGATTTATTTTTCTTACTGACCATCTCCACAGGATAAAATTTTTTGCTGTCCAGCTGTCATTCCGGTTACCAGAGATAAGTTATATCAGTGGCAATATTTGTGTGTGGGTTTTTTATATCTTTACAAAAGCTTCTAACAAATATTTTTGGCGGATTTAGTCACTTAAAAAATTTCGTAAATATGCTATTACACATGCAAGTACATCATAATAAAGATTTCAACAGAAAACAACTAAGTTGTTGCATTTATTTAACTGTTTTTATAACGACCGGCAAAATATGGTAAGATATAAACTGTGATATATATTGCTCTTGAAGAGCAATGAGCGGTCTCCATTGGCCATTTACATACCGACATACATATGTATCAAGATATAAGCTTTATCATGTGGAGATGTTCAGTTTGTCGTAGCTAAGCAATTGCAAATGTATTGAAAATGACGAAGAGCTGCTTGCTTTAAGAAGCAATAAGTTAATAGTAAAAACAAATATTTTTAAAGCAAGCTTTCTAAATATGAACGAAATCGGACCAGAAAATTTGGTTTACCAAATATATCGACTCGTGAGCCACCTATCGGAAATGGTTTTAGTTGAGTTAAACCTTTTCATGTTAATATACGTTCTAAATATGAACCGAACCGGACACCTGCGCCACCTATTGGAATAGCTCATCTTTCGTATTACATTATCATCGGGTTCTGAGCCAGCTGTGAAGTTTCAAGTATCTAAGTTATCGGGAAGTTGGTCGAAAATTGATTGCATGATTTGCCACTAACAAACATACTTACATACATACATACATATATACCGAGCAGGTTAAATAAAAGCTTGTAAAACAGGTGTTGCTTATGCTATTTTGTAGTCAACAATTCAAATTAACAGCTAAGAATTACCCAAAGAGGTTTACGGGAAATCAGCTGGAGCAACGGTCAAGGGATAGATCTGGGTCGTTCCGATTTCGGAACTAAAAATCTCAATTTGTTAATTACAATTATATGTATGAAAGCCAGCTTTTAATTTAATATTGCAAGTGTCATTCAATGTGACCTAACCCAGACTCAAGATATCAAGGCATAACATGATGTCGTTATAAAGAATATAATTTCAAATTGAAACTAGGGAGAAGGAATTTTTTATAGCTTGTATGCGAATAACTCCACTATTTTTAGGAACTATCAGCCTTATACTGTATCACGAACGATAGGCAACATGAACGATTCGTCTGCAGAGGAATGCTTCAAAACTTAGTCCGGCGGCATCATTCTAGCCGTTTTAAACGCAACCGAGACCATTGCAACGTGATATATGAAAAGCAAGACGAAGACAACCGATAGAGTAATAAAATCGCAATCGAATAGCGGTTGCCCCTCGTCAGGCAATAGCAAATTTCCGAGTGTACTTCTGCCAGGAAAACCCTTCTTATAGAAACCATCTGTCATTCTGAGGCGGTAAAAAACGGTGTGACAAAATCAAGACACACACCACAAACTGGGGAAGAAGCTCGGCCAAGCACGTGTATGTACCAAATTTCATTTATTTATTTTTTTATAACAAATGAAGTGTTTTCACTTAAATTGGAAAAGGTAAAAAAGCAAAACTTGTGTAAGAGTGTAATATCCTGCGAACTCATAGCATACATACATATGTATGCATACTTTTTTAAATGTGATTATATGATTTACAGCCTTAATTGAGTGCACGTCAACAATAAAAGTTAACTCCTTTAAATGTTTACCTAAACAATTTTTTCCCTCGACTGTGTTAAGGACGATTTTTAACTGTGTGCCATTTTTTGCAACTAAGAACTTATTTTCTTTAGAGTGTTAGAGATTTAGAGAGGCTAAGGAATTTAGATTTAGTAATTCTCTCCAATTGCCTGAAATCGTTTTACTGAACTCCGAATTTCCACGCATTCGATTGAAATTTTGAGCTCGAATGGTCGTTCGAATAACAGAGTACGTTCTTCATTTGCTCACGAATGTTATCATACCAAAATACGAAATGAGCAGGGCGTTCAAGTCTTTTATAAATATCCATTTTTACACGTACGTGGCGACCTGCTCGTTCACGACTGCCACGAACCAAGTCATGAAATTTCGAGTATGCAGTTTCCATTGCTTGACAAGTTTCAAACCATGTACTATACGATACGGCTTTCCAGGTTTCGCTACTTTTTATTCTCTTACGCAGTATAATTAAATGTTTAACGCATTTTAGGCGTTGCGGGTTGTTTCAAATAATATTAGTCAATGCAAATGCCACACATATAAAGAACGGCTTCAATGTTAGCTTAAACAATTTAAATAACTCCGTGCGCAAATTTTTAAAATATACACAAAAATACAACTCAAAAAAACATTTAAACGCGCATTAATCACAATGATATTCATAGCTGCGATCATTTGCCTGTTTTGCCCTGCGCTGGACAGTTGTCTTATGTTACTTATATGACGCTGCACTTACTATTCACCATTTAATGCATTTCAATAAATGTGTAAAGCGATGGAGGTACGATGTTAAGATATTTAATTCGATGCTTTTGTATTGTCCGCGAAGCCAAACATGCCAAAGTTGTGTATTTTAACGGGTTTATAATTTCGTGTATTTTTCCAGGTTTCAGTAGTGTTTCGAATGTTTCACCGGCATTGTTTTTGACATCCTGCATTAAAAAATATTATTTTTTTTAATCTAACATCTACAGCCCAACTAATATAAACGCATTGCAATTTCATGGATATGTGGATTTACTTTTTATACTTAAGTAATTGTCAGCCTGCGTATATATTAGGTAAGGCTGTTTAGTTACCTTAACTTACCAAATGAGCGCCATATTTTAGGAGGACTTTCGTTAACGCTCTTGGGCATAGTTGCGCGGTTGCTGCCAAATGGAGTGGTGTATTTCCATCATCATCTCTGGCATTCGGGTCAGCTCCAACTTCGAGCAGAGCTTTCGCCAACGCTGGTGACGGAAATTTGCAAGCAGGATAGCGGCCAACAAGAGTTCCTTCTCGATAGCATGCATAGTGCAGCGCAGATCGACCTGATCGAACACATACTTTTAGCCGATTTAGCTTATATAATGAATATAAGATTTCTTTCCGCATATTTGGACAGAAGTTTCCGTCTTCTTCAAGTGATGCCAATAAACATCCTATATGTAAAGCACTTACTAAAGCGCGACTTAATGCATTCGGATCATGATTACAATCATGTATAGAAGATAGTGCAGCGGGATTTTTTTCATGTTCTAAAGTCCATTCAAGGCCTAAAAGGATAAGTGAAATTGTTTCCCAAAAAGATAAACTATTTTTATTTAATCAACTAAAATACCTCGTTCCACCTCTAAAACAGCTTTATTGAATATCATCAACATATCTGCAGCTGCAATTGGAGGTACAATCCGGCCACGGGGTAACAAACGGCCAGCTTCAACCAACATAAAACTAAATAGTTCAGCAAAAGATAATAAGGACGATTGAGTCATAGGACTAAGAGGCTGAAGAATTTTCTGCTGCATCGTCAAAGCATACGTCCACAATTCAATGCAACGATCAAAGCGTCCTGCATCCGCATAATGCGCACCTCTAAATGATAAATTAATGGAAATTTGCATAATTCAACATGAAGATATTCAACATTGTATCATTGTTACCTGAATCGAATGTAATAGCTGGTGTCGGGATGCGTGGGTCCCAAAATCCTTTGTCGTATAACCAGAGCCTGCATCCGCATTTCATCAGGATCCAGAACTAGCTCATCGAGTCCTTCTATTGTTGCCACTTCCGACACGTATTCGTATGCAGCAATAGGCTCATTGATAACTTTAGGAATTTTCGGCTCCTGGTTTCGGTCCTCCATAGCCCGTCGCCACAAAGACAAAGCACTGACCATATCACGTTTTTTATCTACATATGTTGCACCCAACAGTTCCAAAGCGTCAATTCGGCTTTTTTGACTGACACAAGGTAAAGTAATAAGATGCTCTACAATTGGCAAATGCCCAGTTACACTCGCTGCTAAAAGGGGCGTCATACCATAATAATCGACATCCATTGTCGCTCCATGCTTTAGCAACAATTGCAGTATCTCCAATGAACCAGACTCAGCGCAGTCGTGCAATGCCGTATTTCCCTTTATACTACACCTATTGACATCAGCGTTGAGAGACAGTAAATACTGCGCGATTTTGTAGTGTCCCTTATAGCATGCGATCATTAGACATGTATGTCCATGACGGTTTGCAACCTCAAAGTCTGATATATATAGCATATTATTATTTTAAGGGAATACATAGTTTTCGTTTAGAACTTTAAAACAAACCTGCTCCATTGTTTACAAGAAACTTGACGATATCGAAATGTCCATCAAAACAAGCTGCTCGCAGTGGCGTTGAGTTTGTTCGCGTCGTACTATTTACATTAGCGCCATGATGTACCAACAGCTTCACAATACCGTAATGGCCAGCAGCTGCAGCGCACCACAGCGGAGGCGCATCTTCTATTGGTTCTCCATCGAAACTCACTGATCCTACTTGTTCAACATTGGCGTGCCGCTTTAGCAAATACTCGACTATATTGTAGTGACCATTTCGGCAGGCAATAACCAGCGGCGTAGCACCATTTACTTTTGCAGCTATAAGCATCTTTGCTTCTGAATCTGATCTGTTGGAGAGAATGTGCTATAACGGGAAAATAATCAAAACAACATTTATGTAGATGGAATTTTGTAAAACATAAACCATTGCTTAAATTATAATATCATCTAATAATCTATCAATTTATTAAACTGCAATACGCGCACAACAGAGAGGATACGTAATAGTAAAAAAAAATTATTTATTATAGGTACTTTCGGCAGGGTACCTATGCCTATTTTGCGTTGGAGGCAAATCAGTTTCGGCGATCGCGTATTTTCACGAGTCATTTCTCAAACGTTTCAAAAAAAATTAATTTACCAAGTGTTTCTTATGTCCATTTAAGTATTACGTAAGCAGAGTTTTAGTAATATTAGACCCTTCACTCTCATCTTGTCAGCAAAATTAAGTAAAGTTCCTACCTCGCTCTTCACCTCCTATGCTTACGTAATCATTGGTATTTTTTTCATCTATTTATTTATATTTCTTTATAGTTATTCATGAACAGCAGTTATCAAGTCTAACATTTGATACTTGTTCAAAGATATGAAGTCTAATGAGGAGATGTGGTGATCTCCGAAATAGCTATCTCTCCCACGGTCTTTATAAATTATTGTTGTTTTTCCATGATGAGAGCACTACCAGTCAGACATTCGAAAAGACAAACTATCAAAGACCACTCCACCACTAGAAATTAAATAGACGATACTATGATGAGGCAATTCGGGACTTAATGCTTAGAAGACCATCAAGTCGAGAAGTTAGAATACATCTCAAAAGAAGGGGTGAAATTACTACATAAATTCGAGTTCACATCCTTAATGTTGTCTACTTTACGCCGAAAATTCAACTCTAATTGGCAACTCCAAGGACTTGCCGGTCTATATATGGCTCAACGTCGGTCCTTGAATTTTTAAATAAAAAAAGCACAAGGCCGGCAAAAACAAACTATAAGGGCTAAAAATTTCGACACCAGCCCAAAATAATTAAAAAACTTTTCATTAACATTTTGCAGTCTTTCATGCAGTTTAGTCTTTCTTTGGACACTTTTTAGAACGTTGTATGAAAACAAAGTTGCGTATTTGTGTGCTTGATCCCAACTTATTCTCAAGTTGAACGTTGAATTCTAATCCAAATGTTCAGCTATTAAACATTAAAAATCTTGTGAATCACTGTATGTACCATAAGTATCTGTGAAATGAGAACTACCCTGGCAGAAAACTTTTCCCGATTCACACGATATCATTATCCGGTAAATAACGCATAATTTCCTCTGTACACTCTGGTAGGGAATACAATTTATATTTTTTGTATATTAGCAAATACCCGTCGTGCTCCACTGCGCCTTAAAAAGTATTTTTGTGTTGTTTGATACCCGTATTGTAATATTTCATTTATTTCATAAATTTACTTCAAATTTCTGAAACAGGTGGCAACTCTCCTCAAATATAGCAGCACTCAGCAGTAAGCTTTCCTCAACCTCTTCAGTTTGATACCCATATTGCAATATTTAATTTATCTTATCGATGACATTAAATTAAAATTTTCAAACATGTGGCAACCCTTACAAAAATATTTTCGGCTAAAGATCTGATTATGCATACTTCGCATAACTTCGCACAACCATTTGTACCAGTGCAATAAAAATGTAACTTAAGAAAATGTGAGGCAAAATCTAAAATCAACAGATCGCTAAGTTTTTAAATGTTCTGCTAATTTCTGGGTAATGGAATATATACAAAGTACATACGAAATTACTATTTGAAGTATGCAAAGTATTCATAATCAGACCATAAGTCTTCTTAAACCTCTTTCTTAACCTTGTTTTTGGTTTTGACAACCATATTGATATATTTACTTTATCGTATCGATTTACTTAAACTGTTAGTTTTTGAGTGCTGGGCGTACAAACATATAGACAAAAAATCTAAAAATTGTTGGTTTGGCTTCTATTGCTCTAATAAAGATACCAATATTAATTTTTCTTTAATATCTAAAATGTACAGACATCGGCCGGTTACAATTTTATTATATGTATAGATTTATTATCTGGTTACACTGGTCATAAGTGCATAAGTGCCTACATTGATTGTACGTACAAATTTACGTGCATACATACAATACACAGATTGAAAAACAAAAGTTTAATTGTATTAACACATGGCAGCAAACTAAATAATATATGTATGCATGGGTTTGCATGCGTTCGATTGGTAGCACTCTTTTCAAGTTCGTGCTTGATGTTTTTGGTATCTCAAACTCGTAATGCGCTGACATTGTGCGAGTTCAATGTCAAAATAAAAATAATTTATGCGTATAAACGAAGGAAAGCTCAGTTACACACGGAAATGATGCTAGATTTAGATACTTATACGAGTCTCTAAATCTACATACATCCATACATACTTATGTGTGTAGTATGGCCATATAGTATGTATACGCACTTATATTTTATGCGAAATGAGAAAACATATCATAACATAAATGAGAAAACATATCATAACAGTTTAAATGAAAAAGTAGGTTTCAAACCCATTTATTTATTATATATTTCATGGTAGAAGAGCTTCTCAAAGAATATAGAAGCAATTTTTGCGACAAGTTATTGAAAAGTATTGAATATCTAAATCACAGGAATAATCCCAGGATCCCGGGATTGTGACTACGCCATCCCGAAAATCCCGGGATCGGAAAAAGCCTAAAAATTAACATCCCTAGTTGGGAGTAAATTGGGAAATTCAACGGAAATTGCACACAGAATTGGTTGGGACGGAGTCAAGAGCTTCTTAAATGTATGCAAATGGTATTAATTTAACAAAAAAATGCTAATAAAATGATAAAGAATAACACTTAGAAAAAGACCAACACAAGAATGAAAGTAAAGGTGAGTACGTACAAAGGAAAAAATTAAACAAAGGCGCGTAAAGATAAATGCAAAAATGAAGGGGAATAAATATGTAGATGAAGAAGATGATAAAAATAAGTGTAAATAAAAAGAAAATTATTAAGAAAGAGACGAGGATGAAAGGACCGAAAAAAGTAAAGATGCAGATAGAGGAAGAAAGATTAAAATAAAGGTAATTATAAGGAAAAGGATACAGACTCAACGTGAGAACTTTTTCGGGATTTTCGGCATTCTCGAGACTTACCGATATAATAACCGATATTTTTATCGATTGTGTTATCGATTTGGGTATCGATATTTTTATCGATATTGTTATCGATTTGTTATTGATATTTTTAATCGGTTTTGTTATCGATATTTTTTATAGATTTTTGTATCAATATTTTTATCGATTTTGTTATCGATATATTTTATTGATTAGGTATCGATATTTTTATCGATTTGGTTAACGATATTTTAATCGATCTTGTTATCGATTCTGTCAATGATTTTGATATCGATATCTTTATCGATATTGTTATTGATTTTGTTATCGATACTTTTATCGATTTTGTTAGCGATATTTTTATCGATATGGTTATCGATTTTGTTATTGATATGTATATCGATTTTGTTTTCGATAGTTATATCCATTTTGTTAGCGACATTTTTATCGATTTTGTTATCGCTATTGTTATCGATATTTTTTATCGATTTAGGTATCAATGTTTTAGTCGATTTCGTTATCGATATTTTAATAGATTTTGTTTTTGATATTTTTATTTATTTTTTTGTCGAAATTGTTATCGATTTGGATATCGAAATTTTTATCGATTTGGTTATGGATACTGTTATCGATTTTGCTATCTATATTTTTTTTCGAATTTGTTATCGATAACTTTAGAAAAATTCTTTTTTACTGAAAAACATTTTGGAATTGTTACATACTAGACATAATACGTGGGTGAATTCCAAAACGTCAAAATACAAAGCATCGGTCTCTTTTATTTCTAGACCTCAGTAGATTTTAGATGCTAGATGATGCTAGTTTTCTACTAGGTTGCGCAAATTAGGTTTTTTCTTCTAGTGTGGCTTAGAAATAAAAGAGACTGATGCTCTGTATTTTGACGTTTTGGAAAGCACCCCATTTCAGACATCCGCGGATGCGAACGCAAATGCGGATGCCAATTTTTTTTAAGAAATAACCAGGTAAGTAAACTAAATTATTTAGGTAAATAACAAAATGAAAAAGTTAGTAATTTTTAATGTTTATTTTCTTTAGTACTTGAATTTAACAATTGAACATTTTATTTAATAAAAAGTAATGAGAATTGCATGGGGGCTGAAAATGTCGGATATATCCACTTGACTTTCATATTCACATGAAGAAGCTAGCATAATGGCGAGATCGTTTAACAGCGCTTACAAGCCACTTTAAAAAAAAAAAGCACCCCGTTTTTTATAAGCATTTGAATTATTGGAATCACGAATGATGAAGGTCTCCGATATTTACGTAATTCTTACCTAATTAAAGGTCAGACCTACAGCTTTTTAATTATTTTAGCATCGATTCTCTTTATAGCTAAATGTTGAACATTTCTACTGGAAATCCCTATTGTAGGAGCTTAATCTTTGTCTTTAAATAGCAAAGAAGGGAGAGCAGGTGTGAGAGTCGAGTAGCGAATGCATTGGTCGTCTGTTGTGATTGCAGGTTTTCGACGTTAATCTTTCCTTGTATTTTTGGGCGCACATTTTTTGCTGCACAGAGGCGAAACTTAATAAAAGCTCGTAAAAAAGATATTGATCAAAACTGTTATTGTAAGAGATTGAAAAGGAAATTGTGTGTGTGTGTGTGTGTGTTTATGTTTAAAGTTTTAAAAATAAATTGCTTGCAAACGTCAAGAATTTTAAAAGTGCCTCTTCGCGGTTCTATCTTACTATTTTTACCTTCCTTTTATTAGCTCGGGATGTAACTATGTAATATTGATGCGCCTAAAACATGCAGCGATTTCTATTCTCAAGTTACATACCTGATGACAGTACGAATGGCAATTATAATAGGGAGGTTTTAGTTTTTTAAACTATAATTTTATTTTATCATGAAATGTACGAGTCTTTTTTATCGACATAAGAAAGTTGCCTTTCTATTCTAAAAAG